TCGTAATGATATAATTTATGACTTTAATATTATTTTTGGCTTATTGATTTCCATTTGAAGTGATTCGAATTACTTTTACTCTCTATTACAAATAGTAATATTATTCTCAATAATATCTACTTTCTATTTCACTTTTAAGATTAAAAAAAATCATTGTCAAAAGTTTTACGGACGTCCGCATGATTACATGTAGATTGACCGTAATGGATGATAATGATAAAATGTATGTGTCACAAATGGCAATGGATATATGTTCCATTGCTAGATTTTGGAAATTATTTTAAACAAAGGAATATATCTCCTTCGTGCAAAGCTCTGGTTCCTTGCGGCCGGCCTTGTTTATACCATTTGCCTTTTTATGTTAATCTCTTCATTTATTTAAATAAGTTTTGGATTTTCAATTATTTTGCCCGGTTTCGATCATCACTGAAGAGATATTTACTGTTGAATGCGCATCTGGTGCAGAAAATTAGTATCGTTAATGTTATTCCATTTGTCATAGCAAGACAAATTACTTCCTGTTTTCCTCTTTTGTCATGAGTAGCACGAAAGAACCCTTAGTGGAGCAGGAAGTAATTACCCTCTGAGAGCATCTGAGTTCACGATAGGTTTCGTTGTGGTTTGTGTTCCTCAATATGGCTTTAATTTTCTAAATAGTGTTTTGTTAACGTTTTTGTCTTCTTTTTTCTCCAAGACATTATTTTCTGCCTTTCTTCGACTTTTGTTTTTATATTATGCTTTGTTATTTTTTTATTACATATATTGGAGATAAGGAGAAGTTCAAAGATAATAAATGCAAATTAGCCAAACTTATTTTGAGTGGTTTATTTTATAGATGTTATTTGTATTATCCGGTTCTGTCCTTGCATTATATAACAGTTATTGTAAAACTGTGTTGTTTTCTTTTATGTTTCTTAATTGATGTCGAATGTGAATAAATCTCTTTATAGGGCCCTTTAATTGGAAAATAAAATATTCTTATTCTTATTCTTATTCTTATATTGCAGAGAAATGACATTAGCACAGCTGTAAGAAAAGACATAACAACCGTTTTTTTGTTGTGCATGTACTGATTTTGTGTCATTGATGGATACCCCATATCCTTTGTTGTTCTATTATAGTACAATGTACAATGATGTAGATGTTGAATAAATTTATGAATTTTTCATGACCTCTAGATAATTTATGTTTGTTTGCGGTCTCTTCCGGTTTGTTATCTCTCTGGCGTTTAATTCTCATCTTTTTTAATTTATAGCATAAAGAAATCAAGGAAAGAAATAAAATCGAAATATTATTAAAATCTACAATAATGTACATCAAGTGAATAACTGAAAGAATTAGCAGGCATGCCAATAAATGAAATGATAATAATACACTTATATATAAATATAAGGAAATCTGTCTTAAAATGAAGATACATTGTTTAAGTTTTGAAACTTAAAATCTTTCTTTTCACCTTAATACTAGATAATCTTACTAATCCACTTAAATAACCCTCTCGACGTGTGATTCAGAAAAATTGAGGGAAAGTTAATTTATCATGGGTATTCTTAAACCATTTCACATTTATGAATGAGAGAATAAATGAATAGTTCCGTTTCTGACAACCTATTTCAACTTAACATTCACCCCTTCCGTCAGAGGTGTTATAACTGAATAGGAGATTCATCCGCGTGAAAACAACGACGTGTCGTTGTACAAACAGTACAAATCCTCCGCTAAAGTTTTGTATTGAAATAGATCAGAAGAGTCATTTATCTCTGCCAGAGGCTTACAGGACGTAAGGCAATTCGGACGAATGAGATATGCATTATTTAAAATTCGCGTGTTGGTATGGACTTTTATCGATCAAAATAGTTAACCATTTCATGTCGTCTTCGACAATTGAGGTGTAAACGCATAATGGCCCTGACAAGCATTCAGCAATTAATTTTATAACAAAAACATAAGTAAACCGAAAAAGATAGGTCAATATGTTACCCTCATGTATCAAATAAACTTTTCCGTAACTAGTTTACGAGTAATCTACTAGTTAAGACGGTATAACTTTTTAGTTCGTGTTAATGTAAAGCAGACATAAAGGGGAGAAGGTTGAGTACTAAAAAGAAATAGTTAAAAGCAGCTCATGTCAAAATGCCTGTATAAAGTCAAGAAGTGTATTATAATGTTTGTCTTTTAATTGAATGGGACTAGCAATAACTTGGGTCCGATTCTTTTGCGTGCTTTACAATTGATATGTTTATGCTTTACCAAGTCAAAAGTCTGTAATTCAATGGTTGTGGTTAACTTTGTTGTTATTCTTATTTGTTTTCGTTAATTGTTTGGTCATAAATTAGGCCGTTGATTTTCTTGTTTGAATTGTTTTAAATTTTAACTTAATAGAATCTTTGATAGCTTACTATACGGTATGAGTTTTGCTCATTGTTGAATGCCGTAACGGTGTCATATAGTTGCTTACGTATTCGTCATTTGGTCTTCAAAATTGTACATAAAAGTAACTTTAAAGTTTAGATAAAACACAATGACATGTAAAAAATATTCATTAATATAATGCCTGATATATCTTAAAGAGCTTATATATATGCGAATACTAGGGAAACTGTACAATTATACCATAATTTCATGTTTATATTACAGGCATGATGCTTTAAGGGCATTCGTTTCTTTTTTCACTTTTGTTTAATATTTTGTCTATCAGACAATTTTAAAGACTATGCATTTAATAGATTTGCCCATAAACCTCTGAATTTCTCGACATCTAGTCTTTGATGTAAAACCATTTGAAAAAAAATGACAATATTTGGCGGGAAAACAGTTTCTCTGGATTCTTCATATGGATACTAATGAATGTTAAACTGTATGAAAATGTAAAAGTAATAAATAGAATTTTGAAATGTTTAGATAGAAGCGCATTTGGAATGCAGCTTTTTTTAAACAAGGACCAAATTTTATGATTTTCATAATCTATTATCTTGATATATTATACATATATATTTTATAAGTTTTTTAGGGATGAATATCAGTAACGTCATTCTTAAAATCATCAATATAAAAATAAGGTGATGTGGTATGATAGCAAATGAGACAACTATCCACCTTTGACTAAATAACGGGGATATAGATTCCTAATATGTCTATAATGAGCAAAACCCATACTGTATAGTAAGCAATTAGTAAGCCCCGACACGACAAGATATGAAACAATTTAAAAGAGAAAACCAAACTACCTGATTTTTGTTTAAAACAATAAAAGAGACAGCCATTTATTATCTATTCATCACTCAGTCTAAATATCCAACTTACGACTAGAGAGATGGTCGCTTTTACGAGTTTACGTACAGTTTGAAAACTGGGACTTATCGAGCGCATTGCATTTGCGCCAATTTTTACAAATTCTAATCTTTCATTTGCGCCACAAGGTTATATTTCATTTGCGCCAAAAAATAAAAGCTACATTTGCGCCATTTTATAGGTAACATATAACTGAGAAGTTTGAAATATTCATTGCTACATCGTGAATAAGGAGTATCCCCCTGGGTAACTAAGTAAGTTCAAACTCATTTCTTATATAAATGTGAGAGTCACTTAGGTTTAAAACTATATAGTATTCACATGTTTTAGGTGTCAAGATGAGATGGACATTGTCAATTCTGAGACACACAGGCCGTTAGTTTTCTCAATTTGAATGTTTCATATTTTTCATGTCGGGGCTGTTTATAGCCGACCATACGGTGTGGGTTTTTCTCATTTTTGAAGGCCGTACGGTTGCCTATAATTGCTTTCATCCACTTCATTTGAACTTTGGTGGATAGTTGTCTCATTGGCAATCATACCACATCTCCTTATTTTTATTTAGAGGAAAATAAGTCTGTATTTTTTATGACCTCACATACAGGTTATCCAGTGTACATGAGTACATCCGAGTCGTTGCTTACATGTCTCTTTTGAATAAAACTATTTTTTATACTATTTACCTGTATTTACCTGTATTATTGGCGCAAATGAAATATGGTTTGTGGCGCAAATGAAATGCCAATTGGCGCAAAAGCAAAGCATCGGACTTATCACCTGATTAATACACAAAAAAATAAAAAAATCACCTGAGCTTTTGTTAACTGTTTCCACACTTGACCACGTGATCTTCCAGTTTATCTTAGTTTCGGATTTTGCTTAATTGACTTATAAGCAATGCGAAAATTGAACGAAGAACAATTCGATGATATTTCTCGTTCTGAATACCTGATAACGCGTCCGATTTTTTGGATTCTATTGACAAGAGTTCACATTATCGTGGGACGTGTACCAAGTCGGAAACCTCGCCAGTGGATGGCTTTGTTGATACCTCAGTGTTTTTCTTTTCTTTATCCTCTGAAGAAATTGCTGTGGATGCCAGACGTGTTATAGTCGGTTAAATTAATTAGATTTATATCTTTATATACTGTAAAGACACTTGTTAATTATTGACAGTATGTTGCTCTTTCGATGTTTTTTTTTCTGGTTTTATTGAATTCTTATCTAGCATAAGAGTTTCAGCTGGATTAACGAATGTACTCAACATCACTTTCTTATTTGTATTTGTTTTGGTGAATTGTTTCTGTCGTGTGTTGTTGCATGACTTTTTCATATTTTGTTTTAATACATTATCCTTCGGCGCACTTGATTAATCGAATGATATTCTTCATTCAGCGGCTGTGAATGTGAATGTAAAAAGTTTTGAAAAAAGTTAATTAGACATATACATTGTTTCATGCTTCATGCTTTCATCACACACAAGCGCGTATTGGGTCATGTCATATTTTTAAACTTTCACCCTGATATAAAAGTTGCTTTATCCAAATAATAATTCATATTATAAACTGGCAATCTGAATTGAACATCTTCCATCTTTTAACCATATAATTTATTAATATGTGTAATGGTTATTTGATAAAGTCTTTGCGAAATGGCATTCATGCATTAAAAAATACCATGGTCTTCGAAATAACACAAAAAACAAAGACTAAAATATCAATTCTTTATTCAAATTTTCGTGACAACATTTGTATAACAATATAAAATAAATAAAGCACAATATAATTTTTATTTTCCAAAACAATAAAACAAACTATACAAAATTAAGTCATTGATTAAATTCAATGTAATACTAAAGAAAAATCAGAGCTGATGAAAAGCAAATATAGGGAATAACAAGATTGATTCGTTAGCTCATTGTTGACGCGTCTAAATATATCTTGTGAATTCTTGTCTAATGTATACCCCTCCAGATCCTCGTACCACTAAAGTATAAAATATTTGAATTGTATAAACTCTGTGTTTAGCAAAGCTATAGTTGCATTCCCACGTATATTTGTTAAGTTTACTCACAGAGTTTAGTTTAGCATTTTATATAAAGCATGACACTCTGAAGGAACTAGTTTTCAGTAATTCAAAAAATCAAATATACAAACGACCATGATCAAATCACAATATAAAAAAAAGGAAAATAGCAAAATGCATTTTGAACTTTCAAAAACGAAATAAACAAACCTCAAATATTGAGTAATGTGTATGGGAACATTGGAATGTACAATATTGAACAAAATTAAAATGCGTAAAAATAAACTTTTAGGAATGGGAAAATGTTCATGCAAATTGATTTTTTTCATTCGCAAAACTAAACTTTCAATGTAGTAATTTAAAAAGTGGCGGAAACAGCATTAAAAAGAGGGCAAAATTTATTTTCTAAAACATAAATAGAAAATGCAGTAATGTGTTATTTTTTCTTATTCTATCGAAGAAAGACAAGCCATTTTCGCTACGTCAGAGGCTCACATCTGAATCTACCTTCATGATTGGTAATAGCCAAATGTTAGGAAAGCTTTTAACGTACATATGTGATTGATATGATTGAAATGACCTAAGTTGATATTTACATGCTAGAAAAACTTTAAAGCTTAGCTTCTAATAAACCAAATAAAATTTGCCCTTTTTTTTCAAAACAGCAACCAAAGGAAACGCATTAATGTTTAATCCATCCAATTATAATGAAAACGGATAAATTCAAAACTCTAGAATAGGCAAAATACCTCTGGAGTCTACAAATTAAATATTTTTATCACTTGCAACAGAATAATCAATTCCCTTGTAAATATCAATTATATATACTGTTCAGACTTATTTTGTGAGAAAGCTACGAATACCAGCCTGTTAAACATATAAAAAAGTAGTACTGCATTGAAACATTGGCAAAGAAAATCAATGAAAGAGGCATTGTTTTTTTTTAAATATATTAAAAGAGGTGGGCCTTGGTTAAAGATAATTATTTAAACAAGTCATGAGTTTATAATAGACACTTTCACCAATTCTTTTTAAGCAGAATTGGATTAATTAGTTACATGGAAGCTTATTATGTATCTATTAAAACAAACGTACCAGGAGATTAAAGAGTTATGTCCCTTAAACAAGTTCCGCCTTAATTTGAAATTAAAAATCTAAAGAAAAAAAACATTGTGGGAAACTAGCAGGTTTAGGAACATCATTTATGATAAGATTTGAAATTTATTATCATCTGCACGTTTTTCATTGGCTGATTTTTTTTTAAACAAAAGTCTAGGTCTACAATTGTAAAATATATAAATAGTATTCAATTTATCTCATTTTGAAGAAAAAAGCTCGACATTGACGAAGGCCACTTGCAGTGCCGAAATATTTGTCTTCCAAAACGATATTATTTCGTCTCATTCGTATATTTTTTTATCAGTATAGTTGCACACATCTTTAGACTTGTATATACATACATTACGGTATAATACAGGATTTCTGTTCATGTACGAATTAAAAATAACCTCTTTTGAGACAGAATATATCACATGATTGCACATTAATATCAAGATCATTATATATTGCTTTTAACTGAATAAATGCCCCCATTTCTATAAAAATCTATAGAATCTGTTTTTTTTTAATATTTAACCCGGAAGTCAATTACTAGTATCTCTTCTTTTACAAAACACACAAATATATATCTTATCACAGTTAGTCATTATTCAACACTAAAATAAGAGTTTTGCATTGAATAAAGTTTGTCAATAGGATTTAAGACATTGCCTGTATCCATAGCCGAATGTCCGTGGGAATCGGTCATGAACATTTGATCGATGCAATTAATATTGTCCTCCATTGCTTGTCGTACACTCCTTGAATCGTCCATATCATCAAATCTTGATTCTAAAATGAAAAATTATGTGTTTTATTCAATTTTTTCATGCTTAGTAGGATATTCTCACCCTATCTGGTTTCATTCCGTTTTATTTACAGTAGGTGTAATTCATGTAAATACTGATCGTTTATCGGCTGAAATTTGAATCATTTGATTCCGTCATATGCTTTCATTTCGTATGAAAACAACCCATACCGTTAACAACCATAGCAAACCTATGACCAAAACAATAGTAAAGAAATACTTTACAAATTAGACTATACAGATAGAACCAGGACAAAAAACCCGAAAAGAATACAGGTGTTCTTGCTCTAATACTAGTAGCCCCCCCACCCCCGAGATTATCACCAGCTCCGAAGTCAGTGCTTCGGTTCTGACATGATTTATAACCTAGTTACCTCTCTTTAATTCACCGTTTATAAATTTAGAAATTGATAGGAAATAAAGGTTCCAGTTCCCTCAAGCAAATTGACCTTAGATGGATTTGCCGGCTAGTATTTTTAAGTCCCTTGTGGTCATATAGATCTTCCCGTGCTTCGGCACCTAAAAATCATTGGCTTTATACGTTCCTCGGATGAAGGTAAATCAAGAAAAGCGCTTCAAACGGATACAATTTATAACGTGTTATATTTATTGGATGAAAAGCATAACTTTACAAACATATCCAAGACAAATTAATTGATTTTGTACAAAATATGACTGTTTTTGATATAAGTTTAATATTATTCAACAAATTAATTTTTTAGTATTATCATAGTTTTAATCAAAACAAAACCAAAATCTAATATAATTACCCTGATATTCGCTGGCAGGCAATGGTGATATTTGTTCTGCGTTACCATGGTGATGTTTGTCTGAACTCATGGATACTAAAAATGAAATGAAACATTGGAAATGCAAGAAAAAATATTAGCGTTATTCAAGCTGAACATTCTCATTATAATGTATGAACATTCATAATTCTGTCACAAAATATTCCATATAATATTGTGGTTTTGTTTTATATTCCTAAATTGCTGCAGACCCTATAACTTTAAAAATAATTTTGCACATGATGGTATAAAATACAAGAAGTTAACTTATTTAATAGCTTATCAAACAGTGTTGTCAGATGACTGTTATTGTAGACCGTAAAGTGACCCTTTAATATATTTTGTAGGTTAAATTAAGTTACTGGCTTACTGTCTCACTGTTTTAAAACCCAATATTTCCTTGCAGTACTAAGTATATGAAATGTAAACTCAACCTTTTTTTAAGTAAACACACAAACTTAAAAACTGCACAACAATTGCATACAGTTAGTTCTCCATATTATTTTCAGCGGAAAATCTAAATTAACATGAACTGTCGTTCGCAAAATATTTTCAATCGCTTTTTCTAACTTTAAGCACATTTATTCAATTTCCAGCAATCTTGATGTACTGTTTCCATTAATAAACTTATATTTCAGTATATTTAAATACAGTTCCTTTATTTTGTTAAATTTTGTCCAGTTATTATAGTTTCTTACCTATGGAATCAACGTCACACAGTCGACCATTACTGTCTGTATCAAATAAAAACAATGAACAGTTGAAAGGATTTATTATTTAAGCAGATGCATTCAATATAATTAATAATAATAATAATAATAATAATAATAATAATAAAAATAATAATAATAATAATAATAATAATAATAATAATAATAATAATAATAATGATAATTATTATTTAAGATATCACATATCCATGTTTTTCTTGAATAAAGTTTTAATTTGGCTTAAACCACGACTGGCATAGTTTTGGAGGAGGTTTAAGCTCTTATTAACATGTTTCACCCCGCCACGTTCTATGTATACCTGTCATAAGCAGGGGCATGAGGTCCGAAGTGGACTTTGGTTGCCGTCTGTCATGATTAGATTTAGAATTAAAATGACATCTTTAAAAATTTTGAACTATCAACTACATACGTATATAGCATTAGAAAAAATTCGCAGAAGTCTTCTACTCTGTTAGAATTTTGATGGTGCTCTCATGTCAATAAAGACAATACTAATTGAAGGTCAAAATCACGAATTTTCCATCAGTCTTTAATGAGACAACTTACCATAAAGATCAAAGGACAAAATTGGAACAATCTTGAGCACCTGAGTGGTAACCCCTGTTTACCTGAGTGTCAACCCCTGTTTTAGTGAGTTCGTGTTGCTAATTGTTGTAAACGTTAAACTATGCATTAATATTGATGTGTGAACGTATTACTAACATCGTTCCTGGCAAATTTGACATTTGTGTTACGAAATTCAGCCGTTATTTAATTCTTCTGTGAAAGGTTTTATTATTGTTTTGTCTCAAGTTTTGTCAATTATTTTTGGCATTGGTGTTGTCTGTTATTATTATATTTCGATTGCCCAACAGTATAACAGCCGAATTTGGGAGAGTAAAAAGAAAGAGCAAATTATGGGTATAAGACTTGTGTCTCAAATTAATTCACAACGAATACTTTACCTGGATCACTATCATCACTTTTGTATCCGTCAGATTTTTCTTTCTTTGAATCGCCATTTTTATTCTTATTGCCTTTACCACTATTGCCGTCTTGGCTTTGTCTTCTCGCGATCTTTTTTACCTGAATATAAAGAAAATTTTAATCAATTTTGAAATCATTGGAAATACAGCTATTTTTCTGGGGGACAGGAATTCATTATATGAATATATATATATATATAGATATGTTAAATTCAAATCATTGTCAAGCCCCAAATATGTGTTTTTTCCTCGGATCTGTGTCCCGTGACGTCATTAAACTCAAAGTGTAGCCCTTTGTTTATTCAAATCCGTGTCCTTTTTATAAAGAAATCTTTCAGAAATTTGACGTGACTTAAGATAGGTACATATAGAATGTGGCGGAGTTTAAGCGCTCAACCCTCCCCTAACATGGGACCGTTGTGTAACAAAACAACATAATAACAAACTGTAAAAATCAGTTGGAAAAAGTTTGACACATCAAATCAACGCAAAGTGTTTTATATTTATACGTAAGAGTGTTTATATTAACAGTTACACACATGAAAGGTTTAGATCTTTCGTAATTTTTAAAATACATTGCTTGACTGTTCATTTCCTTTAGATAGTAGAGGGGCCTGATGGGTTATTTTCGTTCTTCGTGATCGGCGCATTTTCGCTATCGTGATCCGTTTTTCTACAGATTATTTTTTTTTTATATTTTCGTGATCCGTGATCATGGAAATTTATTTTCTGTGAATCGTGATTGACAAAAAAATCAACTCGTGAATCGTGATGAGACCCCCCCCCCCCCCTCTCATCAGGCCCCTCATAGTACTGTTCTTGACGATTTTTTGTTTTACTGTAATCTTCAAAAGTTCTTTTATTCTTTATTTTAAATATATTTTAATTTTTAATAGATTTAAACTGTCATTGTGTGTAAACTATGTCTTCTCTGAAATTTGACGTAATGTTTTCTTATGCAATGTCATTATGCTTTCCTGTTTCTGGTTGAATTTCCGATATGCCACGTTCTATGCGCAATCTTGGATATACCCTTCATCATGAGCAAAATCTAGGGTAAAATTAAAAAAATATATATGCTCACCTAATTGAGATTTAAAACAATCAACACAATTTATCTCAGGTTGCCAGAAGGAAGTAAAATTTAGTCTTTTACTAAATACAAACATAATCACCGTAGAATTCACAAAATATCGCATCTAAAACTAAGGTTGCAACTCCCATGGCAAAGTTGATCTACAAAGGTATTGACTGTTCTGTCTGGACCCATTTAGTTTTTATGTTCTAAAACAGGGATTTCATAACTTTTGATCACAACCTGATGCTGGGTTAAGCCAGGTACACATATCGCTTGCATAGAAATCAGAGTCAAACGTTAATTTTTCGAATGTCATTGTTTTACATTTAAACACAGAAGTTATTGTGTAAGTTTAAACCGCATTGCTGCGGTGGACGTGAACTTAAACTATTTTTTTTGGCATTAACACATAGGATACTTTGATATAGACATATTCACCGAAGGTACGTCAATTGTGTCTCTTTTCTATTACATTACTATTATGTCAAAAAATCAAAAGGTCGTGTCCTTTAACAATTGTGCTTGACATCTATTTTTTTTGTGTTGTGATTTGTGGAGGTTTGTTTTTTTCAAAATTGTGTGGATGTTCAAATGTTATACATGTAATATTTTATCCAAACCTGGTCATTTACAGACTACCGCTTAGCTATATAGTAAGTAAGTAAATTTTGGTATAAAGTAAGTAAATTTGTATTATAATGACACGTGTAATAACAGTTTACTTTTATAAATTTTGACTTGGATGGAGAGTTGTCTCATTGGCACTCATACCACATCTTCTTATATCTACTAATTGTTGTTACACGCAGTTTCTCAGATATATGATTTTATGATTATTGTCTTAGATAATACATTTTATTTCATAAACTCCACGTTTTTAATGATGTGAGGTCAATATTTCTTAAAAAAAGACGTTGCAAAGGGGACAAGTAAAAAAGTACGCTATCAATAGGACTTGCCAATTGATTCAATGCAGATGACCTATATCATCAGCATCCATAGATGACCACAATTTTACTAAATGAAGTTGTATTGGTGGCAAGTAAAAGGCAAGACTAAAATTTATATAACTATGTGTGCTGTTCTTACCTTAGCACGTTGATTTTGAAACCACACTTGAACAACACGTACACTTAAACCGGTCTCTGCCGCTAGCTGTTCCCTCACCTAAAATATTAAAAAAATGATAGTCTCTTAATTAAATATAATTTTGCCTAATTTTGTGCATAGAAAAAGAAACAAAGTTTCATTATTACTTAAAATGAATCGATATTTAGGTATAATAATCAGTATTTTAAGCAAATAAAATATACCGAATTTACACGTTCAGTTTACTGAAACAAAGAAGCGGAGCATACTTTTGAGTGAGAAAGGGGGAGTCGCGTCAGTAAGTAAATCGGACTATTGAAAACGGCATAAGTTTACACATTTAACACTTACCAATATAGGACCAACTTGAATTGCATAGACAACTGAATGATTTTGGCTGATATTTTATACATGTATGTATTTTGTATGAAACTTGCATTATACACCGATATATGTCATTTACATCTTTTAAGATTAGGAACAAAACACGAGTTGCCATTTTTAAAGAATTTAATCTGTATATTCTATCGATATTCATTTGTACATAGATCTTACTTTTCGACAAGGTTTGGGGTTCATCTCAAAAGCTGATTTAAACTTTCGTCTTTGACTCGTTGTAAGAATAGTCCGTGGTCTTTTTGGGTGTTTACCTCCATCGCTTTCCCCGTCATCGTAATCATCACTATCGTCACCTAAAATGTAACCTGTTTTAACTCATTTCTAGTATTCAAATGACCTGCAATTTAGATTAACATTACACTTTCCTCGTAACAGAAACAAATAAATAATTAAAAGAAATATGATGTATACGTAAGGGCTATTCCATTAAAAATGTATGTTGGAGGGTAGGAAGGGAAATTTAATTATTGAATGTGGGTCATGGGTCTTTTTTCAGAATGCGTCTATCCTACAGTTACACCAAAACCATTGCACCCAAAATATTTAACTATAAACAAGCATTACGGGACCTTGATTTAGAACAATACCTAAAAATCCCTCTGACATTGGACTGTTCCCACTCGCCTTACAATTACAGCCCCTCTGGCCATGTTATTACTGGGGATCTAAACATAATTCAACATGAAAATCTCCGAAAGGTGATTTCTCATGGTCCTAAGCTTAGAGAACCCCAACACATCAGTTGGAACCATAACTTCAAAATAATTATGAATTCCACTGAGGACTACGCCAGAGCATGGGCTAAACGAGAAGAGGTTCGACTGGATACTTTGTCAGAATGGGTCAAAACAATCAGGTATCTGATAAAACGTCGCATTCATAAGTTGAAAAACTGTGTGAATGATCGACCAAAGTCCGTTTTCAGAGACAAAGAGTCTGTAAAATGTCTATCATCTCTTCAAGATAAGTTTGTTGTTGTTCCTGCGGACAAAGCTTCAAATAATATTGTCTTTATATGTAAATCGTATTACTACGAGTGTCTTGTAAAAGAATTAGGAATAAATGAGCACTCAGGTAATCCAACATACAAACACATATCATTTGACAAGGATGAGACTTTGGCGAATCATAAGTCCTTCATGGCTTCAATGAACATTGCATTGAACAACAAATCGGAGGACTTACCTTGTTTCTATTGGATACCTAAACTTCACAAAATTCCGTACAAACAACGGTACATTGCCGGCTCATCTGCATGTTCAACTAAAGAATTGTCCATTAGATTGACTAAAATTCTGTCCGCAGTGAAAGAGGGTCTTCAGAAATACTGTGAAACTGTTTACTCGCGTAGTGGTATTAACCATATGTCGATTCTTAAAAACTCTAAAGAACTTCTGGATAATTTTAAATCTCGGTCTTTTTCTGAAATTAGTTCTATCAAAACTTTTGATTTTTCAACCTTGTATACCACCATTCCCCAATGAAATTGAAAAACCGTCTAAAAGAAATAATCCACAATGCTTTTCATCATAAAAATGGTAGCATACGCTATAAATTTATTACTTTGGAATAACAAAATAGTGAACAAAAGGGTAAAACATGCTACACAGAGGAACAAGTGATCAGTATGCTGGAGATTCTTATTTACAACATATTTGTTGAATTTGGAGGTAGTCTTTTTAAATAAATTGTCGGCATTCCTACGGGAACGAACTGTTTACCTCTCCTTGCCGACCTCTTCTTATTTTCATATGAATCGGAGTTCCTTCAGACACTTGTCAAAAACAAGAAGATCAAAGAAGCCAGGTTATTTAATTTCACTTTCAGATATATTGATGATGTTCTTTCCATTAACAATCCGAACTTTTCTGATTGGGTTCCATTAATATATCCACCAGAACTAGAAATTAAAGAAACAACAGACACGGCTTCCTCCGCCTCATTTTTAGATTTATACCTCGAATTTGACATACACAGTCATCTCAGTACCAGAATCTATGACAAACGAGACGATTTTAATTTTGAAATTATCAATTTCCCCCACCTTAGTAGCAATATACCAACTTCACCTGCATATGGGATATACATTTCCCAACTTATTCGGTATTCAAGAGCTTGCAGCTCCTACTCAGACTTTGTAAAACGTCACCAGTGTCTGAGCAGAAAGTTGATGAACCAGGGGCATGTCAAAGAACGTCTCGTCCTTTTTCTAAAAAAGTTCTTCGGAAGGTACCAAGAACTTGTTGATAAATATTCCGTATCAACTTCACAAATAATACTCGATGGTCTTGAAGTATAGATTTTGCATACTGACGTTGTTTATCATCTTAATAATGTGTTATAGTATTCTTTTATTTGTCTTTATTAATATTACTTTTACTGTTAAGTCTGTTTTTTGTGATATACATTTTACGTGACTCTGTATTTGTGTGTCCCGTCGTACTTTGAACGACAAAATTATTTTATGTTTACCTGTGCGAATTTTAAACGCGCGATTTTACGCCAGTACTTAAAGCCTTCCATCCTTTATGGGTGGATTTTGCATGGATGAATAGAATCGTATAATATAAGCAAAATGAGGATGTTAAATTTGATGTATGCCTTTTTGTGCTTCTTCGTTACATTTGTTTGTTTTTATAGTGATTAAGATGATAACACAATGTTGATTGCTGTACCCCTATTTTTGACATTTTTACCTATTGTGTCTGTTTGTTTTGTTCACGCATCGTTGTCAATATAATGGAATGTGACGCGACTGTCATACAAGTGAGAGGTTTAGCTAGCTATAAAACCAGGTTCAATCCACCATTTTCTACTTAAGAAAATGCCTGTACCAAGTCAGGAATATGACAGTTGTTATCCATTCGTTTTATGTGTTTGAACTTTTGATTTTGCCATTTGATTGGGGACTTTCCTTTTTGAATTTTCCTCGGAGTTCAGTATTTTTGTGATTTTACTTTTTACCATTATGCAAAATTATCTAAAAATGGTTCTTGGTTGGAGGGGTATTTTGAAAGACCGTTCCACCCCACCCACATACATTTCAATGGAATAGCCCTAAATTAAAAGCAGCCAAACGACACAAAAACAAAAAGGCATTTAAAATTTAGTTTAGCTGAATTGATTCAGCAATAATTCAAGATTTACACGAGCAGTTAATCTCAAGACATGAAACCGAGACCGATTTTGCACATGGTAGTCAGGACACAAATTCAGCTGCAACGTTAAACATAAGTTAATAAAACGATACACTTCTTATGTAGTATTTCCAAAAAATTAACAGTAGGGAATAAAACTGCACTTGGTCTGCTTTTCAAATTTGCAAATGATATTAAAGCGATGTTTCTAAAATAAGTAATAAAAAAGAAAATACGTGTATGGTGATACAAACGGTATACAAGTACTTATATTCTCAATCTTACTAGTTAAACAGCGGTACTTAAAATGCCAAAACCTATTTTCGATGAATAAAGAGAAAAATAAGTCCATAGAAATGTGTAAAGCAAATTTTTTTCCAATAAACGATACAGTTCGTTAATCTTTATTTTCTTGAAAGTTCTCTGAGAAAAGTTTCGCTAATAAATATACATGTTTATATATCTGTGCCTGAAAAATTTATATAGTGCATAAAAATTTTCCATTTCCAGAAACAATTTACATAACTCACTTTTCGGACTCATGGAATACATATGGAATTCTTTTTCAAAGTCCAGACGACAAAAGAGCTGGCCATCTCGAATGACAAAGTAATCTCCCCTTTGTAACGGCTGACCACATTCTATACAAACAAAGCACTGTAGATGATAAACGTATCCTTGAGCTCTCATTACAAGTTCATTTGGAGAAATGTGCAATCCACACCCATTGCACGTTCCACGAAATAATCTGAAATGCACATATCAAGGAATATAGAAAAAATAAAACCTATGACGATAAAACAACAGCATAATGTGTCTAAAATGGACGAATATTCGAAGTTGCAATACACATGGACTTATAAATACTGATGTCTTCGTCTTCTTCATATTTGAAGTTTTACATCCGGAATAAAACACCTTTATTATCACTGTAGTGCTGTGAAAGAGTCCACACGACTTTTACAATCTAAAAGTTCGTCCTGAGGTTTATTGCAATTCCGCCCGATTAAAAATATATAAAATGAAACAATTGTCCACTTGCACCTATGTTTTACACCGAAAATGATGTCCGAAGGCTCGTTTGATCGAAAAACACATGCTCATAGAATTAGAAAAAAACGACATTGGGTGACCAAACTTTCCGTGAATAAGATCGTCCACCACAAAACTTTATGATAAAGTTTTTCTGACATTTACATAATCATTAAGACACATAATTTTTGGCTTCTTTTATAAAAGTATAAAGTTACTTAAATATAAGAAAATACTTACAAATATAGTAGAAGTATTGAGATATGATTTAATGATTACAATTGAACACTAGTAAATGTCTTTGCAAATTCTTAGTTTTACGGTTACGAGTGTTTTTGTGCAAATGAATACATTGTTTCTTTTAACACAATGCTTTTTATGCCTTACCTTACTTTGACAAATGCAAATATTTTTTTTTCATTATTCTTAACATGATTTTCACTAGTTATAGGCTTTCAGTTTTGTATTTTTTTTCAATTCCACAAAAAACATGTCAAAGTCCCTATTTTGTTCCTCTTGGTCCAATTGATGGTATCAGTTTCCAAGTGACTGAACAACTCTGATCTCGTTCTAACCTCTCTGATTGCTCTTTTCAGGGATTTAATGAATGACTGGCGTTGAATTTGACAAATTATGCTAACCGATTAAGCTTTAATTCTTTTATTATTTTCAAAAACTATTGGAGATGTGAAAAAATCAATGACAACTATTTCGCATCATTTAAGCCACAGCACACAAATTCCATTCATTTGCATTTGGACATCAAAAGACGTGATGCAATAGATTTACCATAACAGAGAAAAAAATAAAAATTCAAAAACAACAAAATACGTACAAATGATCTGAACACCCGCAGTCTTAACGAACTGGAAAGCGTTTCTAGAAAATTAAGCAATTTCAATCAAGCTTTTATGTGAGACCGAATCATTTTTGCATTTAGTTTTAACGTACGAATAGCTTAGACAACGTTTTTTACTCACACTGAAACACTTAAACGGAAGTAAATCGCAGGAATCTATTGCTAGCTTTTCAATGTAACTTTCTAACTAAAAGCTCTCGTTCTAGTTTATCAGGCTAAAGTAAGCCGATTTCTACAATTTTCTTTGTTCTTTGTCAATACTAAATGGTTCGATCAACTAACTGTGAATAACAAATTCAAGCAGTATTTATTTCTGTCATAGAAAAGAACAATCAGAGTCGTAATGATCAGCCATTGAAATCCTGCAAATGTTCCGGAAACTCCAATGTCCGCCATTGTTCTTCAGTGAAAAGGCGTGAACGGATTAGCGTGTTTTGTAATGGAGACAAGTTTTAAGGTGTTTGATACGGAAAATGAAGGAATTATGTTATTCAAGAGACTTAAAACTTCTGAATAAGACTAATTATGTTTCCAGAGATAAATGTGCTCTAATTTAGGGTGCATCTCGTTCCTAACTTTTATTCATTGTATGCCAGAGATTTGATACGGTGTATTTGCTTAATCGTCAAATAAGATAACATGTTATATACATTTAACTAAATAAAAAGCATTATGGTCTGTGAATTTAGCTGTCATTTAATAGATTGAGTCAACCTAATCTCACGAATAATTTTCATCTTCACAGGAAAACTACACCTTAATACGAAAGCACCAAATAACACTGGCCATTTATACATGTGTGAAAAATACAAGAGAATATTTCTTAAAATTTTAAAACAATATTTAAGGCAAATCGTAATTTGAATTTCATTTGACCAATTTTTTTAATACATGTAATAAATATTGAAATAAAACAAAAAATGAACCAAATGTATCAATTTAAATCACAAGATAATAATTGAATTCCTGTTATTGCTTTAGTTTACTTTCCGACGTCCAACGATGAACGACGGTATTTAAATGCCGTAAAATTAACCTTTCCAATTGATAAGTACTTGGAATATGGATATTTGCGACTAAAACACAAAGCTCAACTGAAAAAAAATCAAACTTTATAAGTTACTTCCGATTTTAATCAAAAGTAATCATTATGTTTCGTTTGCTGTACAGAAACATCGACTATAGCTGTGTATGTGTATGAGGTCATTTAGTGCTTAGGTTAAAACTGAAAACAATCTCTTAACATTTTGAGGTTGTTAAAATAAATAAAGAAATGCACAAATTATTTAGTTTTAGAATACCGATTGTCGCAGTGGGATTCATTATAGATTTCATAGTTTCGATTGTTGGTTGCAAAAATATTGGGAATGGAGTAGTTATTTTACGTTTTTGCACCTATGTTTTCTTCTTTTGCAAACATGGCATCGAAGTTGACATATCGTTCGTTAATTAATAGTTATTTTTGTAATTATTTTATGAAAGATGTATGTTATAATACGATGTTTGTCTGTTATGTAGACATTTTAACTGGGATTTACATTATGACCAGTTTACCATAAACATAACACACATGACTTTTAACCCAGCCTGGCTGAAAGAGGAAGCTGATCTTTTATGGCTATACTGTTACCATAGCGATAAGCTCCAAAATAACCCTATACCTTAGCCATAGTCTTACCCTAATCTGAAAATCCGCGTTGATGATAATCAAGTATGGTTTCCTAAATTAATAAAATCGGTTGATGACGTCTAGATATTGAAAAAATCCATTTTTATTTCTCTGAATAATAATTTAAAATTGTCGAATGAATTTGAAAAACAACAATGGTTTTAATTCCACTAGAATGTTGGTTCTTTACTTGAAAGTATCTTGGTTATAGTTATTTTGGATCAATGCACAAAATGTTACCAAAATCTATAAAACAGATTTTGCATCTATAACTTAGTTACATGTTCAAATTTACGACAAACATTATTTCATATACCAAAAGCACACATTCACAGCTGTGAAGCTGTGAATTTTAGAATAATTTTAGAAATATCGAAACAATTTTTTTCATATATTCTAGCTATTGAAACAATCCATTTTAATTTCTGTGTATCATAATTTAAAATGTCGAATGAATCCCGGTCTTAATATATTCTAGAAAAACAATTAAGACTCAAGTAACAAAAGCTAAGACGAAAAGAATCCAATATATTTCTTCAATATTGCGCCTATTTTTCTTTAGGCCTTCAGAACATCTAGAATTTATTAAACATTTTTTATACCGTTTTCCCATTTCTCCATTATTAATCGAGTCACAACAAAGACGGAGTGGAAGAGTTAAGTAATTCGACGTAGTTTAAGTTATAAAGACATGCAAAAAAGAAAGAGGTAGAAACATTAAATGAATACACCGGTAATGTACTAAGATTAATTATAGAAATACCAATTGATTCGAGAATTATTCAAATTAAAACAACAATGGAAAACAGGTAATACACCTTTAATTAAAAGATGAATAATATAAAATCTTGAAAACGATCTTTTGAGTCTAAGAATAATGAATGATGGTGTAGATGGGTCGTCTTCTTTTTTTTATTATTCAGAAATTTATTTTTTAGGCCAATTTTCCCTATTCTTTTTCAACCCATTTATGCATTTCCATAAAATCAAAACTTTACACAGTGCTAATAACATAAACGGTACCAATTTTTCTGCACCAGATGCTTAGCATTTCTATTGAAGATAATCGCAGTTTGGTACATTATTGCCACTTCTATTACATGTTTCCTTAAACATTTACATCGAATACAATCCTAGCCAAATGAATAAATTTGAATTTGAAAAGACAACAATGGTTTTAATTCCACTAGAATGTTGGTTTTTGCTTGAAATTATCTTGGTTCTGGTTACTTTGGATCAATGCTCAAAATGTTACCAAAATCTATAAAACTGATTTTGAATCTATTACTTAGTTGCATGTTCAAATTTACGACATAAATAATTTCATTACCCAAAAGCACACATTTACAGCTGTGAAGCTGTGAAATTTAGAATCATTTTAGAAAGATTGAAGCTATCTTTTTTCAAAATGACGCTAGTATGAAATAAATTTATAGATATACCACTAACATTTGATTAGGAAGAAAAGCAAGCACCGACATATATTTGCATCGTAATGCGCATAGAAATTGTACTATTTTTCTTCTTCTGCTACACACATAGTGTTTCTTTAAATATGAAATAAGAAGAAACTAATTATCAAATTAGCTTTGCATATTGAATTAACTGTTATTAATCGGCTGACCTACTAACGGGCGCAAGTTACGACGGGAGACTTAGCAAATACATGTAAATGAAAACAACGGAAGTCCATTTGTTGAAATAGCTTTATTTGGGAAAGTAAAACGTATCATTACAGGACAAATGAGTTAATAAAGTAACAGGTCACTTTCGCGAATACGTCTGCTTAAACCAATAGGACTGTGTCATTTTTATGACCATTTACTTAGCTCTTCATGTTAATTTTATTAAAAATTGATCATATATACATTGGTTTAAAGAAACATTAGATTCAAGCCCTTTCAATATTTAGATATTGACTAGCTATCATTTCCTTAGATATAAAAATGCGCAGCTTAATAATTTTTACTGAATATCTCTTACAGCAAACCGATTTATTGGTTGAAGGATAATTTGTTGATAGAGGTTTTGATATCCGGTAATTTTTAATCGATGGTGTCCCAACAGAGATTCCGGGATTTATGCAATACGTCGATAAGCAGTTTAATAACTTTTACCAGATGTCGCGTGCCAAATTTGCCCTTATTAACATTAATAAATTCCCAAACAATTACTCTAACTTGTTACAAACATAGTTCGTACAATTTGTTCTCAGATCATACACCAAACCTTTAATTGAATCGGCAAACATTACTTCTTAGTCTGGGTTACCGTGACGTTTGAATCGTTAGTTTCGTAGGAGACTGTAAGCAGCGTTGACAGGGAAATTGCTATGAAATCATGTCAACGTCGCTTGCAGAGTTTGTTATTTGACTTTTTGTGATTAATCAACATCAAAATTGAATAAAAATGGCAACATTATGCGTATAAAAACAATCAGATATTCCAAGCTGTAGCAAAATGTCGTAAAATGGAATGGTTAGAACGACAGTTTGAGTGAGGCTTGGAAAGAATCGACAAATAAATTATTTTTCTACGCATAATAAATTATATTTTCAAAGGAAGTCTTCAAATCGCCCATATAATTATTAAAACTACCATCTTTAATTTGTATGTAAAGAAGTATTATTATTTTTTCCAGTCAAAGCTTTGGGTTTCGGACATTTCGCATAAGTGATAAGTATTATAAATATTTCTTATAGATTCAATAGTTCCAAATATAAATGAACATGTTATTAGGCATACTATTTTTGTGCTTTATTACATGTCTACCTATGAATGTTTTAACTTTTTAAAGGAATATAGTACGAGCGGGCAGGTTTCTCTTAGGCTGATGACATAAACATGCTGCCGTCCACGAGTCGTTCTTCTGTTAAGTTTTAATCGAAATGGTAAAGGTCAAAATAGGGTTATTCGTTAATACCTTAACTGACAGACGGCAAGACAGGCATCGTGGTTCAAACATGACGAACTCTCATTTTACATGGAAATTTAACTTCCAGATCTATGAAATTGAATAAATAATAGATAAAAATAGACAATAAGAATTTTCCTTACTTTTGGTAATCAACTTTACAATAGAGCTTTCGATTTCTTGAAAAGCATGAATTCGTAAGAGCCATCTGACACACACAACAGCGTACACATTGTTCATGCCAATAACAGTCCATAAGTTTCATCAAAAATCTATCTTCGATTGGATGTTGACATCCTGGACAGATCTCTTTATGTGCTGCCGGCATTCCTCTGCAAAACAAGAAAAACACATATGTTAAAATTTATATAATGTAATTCAACGTTCGTTCTTTCTGACGGTTTCTCTGATTTTGCATCATAATTTATCTATTTATCGGCTTAAATTATCTGTGATAACTTATTTCTATGAAATCACTGTTAAGTGTCGTTCCTTCATAATACAACGCATTTTTAGGGTTCTCAAAACACATATCCAATGATCTCATTTGCATTGATCTGGAATCTGGTTCATCTTGCCCTCTGTTCTTAAAAACCTAGCATACAATCGTATCATATATCAGAAATTGTTCTAGATATAAATTAAAGGCTGTTCGATTGGAAAGAATGGAATTTCAGTAAATTTTGCTTATCCTTAAAATTTTCCAAATTTCGAATCCATATGTCATGAAAAATATTTATGAAAAAAATTATATATAGTTTTATGCTCCTATATTAAAATCAGTTTTCATTTACTTATAATGCATTCAAACAATGTTTTTTGTAGATTTATCTATATTCATTTTTCCTGTTTGCTTAAATCAATGTGTCTGCTGATTTTTAAGAGAGAGAGAAAAAGAAACCATTTTTTTAATTTTATTTCATTTTTGGTGAATGTCTCTTATTGATGTCTTTTATTTCTATCTTGTAAAGCATCTAAACATCTTAAAATTTTCCCTATCAATCGTTAAATTTTGGCGTTTGAAAAATAAAATAAACAATTTATACTATTATCACATCTTTTCTGTCAAAAATAAAATTTAAAAAAAAATATATATATATATACGTGTATACTGATAAAAAATGTGAAAATCGAATTCCCATAAACAAACAACTAAGGCTTAGAGTGATCAAACGAATTCTCAAAACAAATTGTTTATCAACAGAACATGAAATAATAGCTTAAAATGTGGACGTCAAAGATTACACTGTGCTCTTCGTGACACGTCAAAAATAAACAAACAATAACAAAGGGATTATCCTTAACATCGCGAGAAGTGACCGTGATTTAGCGAGAAGACACTTTTGGTTGGTCAGCTTTACATAATGTAAAATTAGTAAGAGATCGTTAAATTAAAAATCACAAGAAAAGATATTGTACTGCTTGTCCAACCTTGATAAGTTATTCCAAGCTTTATTGAGAATTGTCAAATTGAATTGATTGAACTTAGAATTCGTTTATGCTTTAAATTTGAGAAAAAGTAATCAACTATGCAACCGCTTTGCATCCAAGACATGATGACCTGCAAGAGAGCATGCAAATCATTTTACAATGTCATAAGATTCCAAAGTCCAACAAGAACGTTTAAAAAAAGGTAAAGACAATGACCGAAAGAAAAAATATAAACAATGATAAGAACAAACAAACAAGAACACTAAAACAAAGGATATTAATTCGAATAACAAGTAAATAATAAAAATCGCGAATCAAGTAGTTTTGATTTGATATCAGAATTTGATTTGTCAATGACTCATATGGTTTTACAATTTCAATTGTTTTTATGATTTCAGAAAACAAAAACGAGGTATTTAGCGAATCGTTTGTTTTCTATCTCTTGTTGAGAAATAGAAATTAGTGAAAAACTATTTTTATAAATAATTTTAAAAAGTCAGCAGATGTGATATCTTTAAAACAAGCTATTGCAGATCTAATAGTCTCTCCAAACAATTTTGAGTAAAGATAAATACTGCAAGGTGTATTTTGTGTCCGAATTTTAAAGAGTCTTTATTTTCTCTAAACGAGTTATATAGTAAATATTCAATTGTTTACCAGTACCTTATAGAAGCATAAATCAGCTGGTAGGGGTGGGGTGGTAGTTATCAGCTGGGTAGGGGTGGGGTAGTAGTTATCAGCTTGGTAGGGTGGGGTGGTAGTTATCAGCTGGGTAGGGTTGGGGTGGAAGTTATCAACGGGGTAGGGGCGGGGTGGTAGTTATCAGCTGGGTAGGGTTGGGGTGGTAGTTATCAACGGGGTAGGGGTGGGGTGGTAGTTATCAGCTGGGTAGGGTAGTAGTTATCAACGGGGTAGGGGTGGGGTAGTAGTTATCAGCTGGGTAGGGGTGGGGTGGTAGTTATCAGCTGGGTAGGGGTGGGGTGGCAGTTATCAGCTGGGTAGGGTTGGGGTGGTAGTTATCAACGGGGTAGGGGTGGGGTGGTAGTTATCAGCTGGGTAGGGGTGGGGTGGTAGTTATCAACGGGGTAGGGGTGGGGTAGTAGTTATCAGCTGGGTAGGGATGGGGTGGTAGTTATCAGCTGGGTAGGGGTGGGGTGGCAGTTATCAGCTGGGTAGGGTTGGGGTGGTAGTTATCAACGGGGTAGGGGTGGGGTGGTAGTTATCAACGGGGTAGGGGTGGGGTGGCAGTTATCAGCTGGGTAGGGTTGGGGTGGTAGTTATCAACGGGGTAGGGGTGGGGTGGTAGTTATCAGCTGGGTAGGGGTGGGGTGGTAGTTATCATCTGGGTAGGGGTGGGGTGGTAGTTATCAGCTGGGTAGGGGTTGGGTGGTAGTTGATAGTTATTTTTGCAATGAAACTATTGAGATTTTTTAATTAAGTTATCAAAAATCTTGAAGTCTCTAAAAACTGAGAGGTAAGAAAAAACATTTCAGCAAAGACACTATATTTTTAACAAACCACTTTACATATTGTAGTCTTTTCTCAGCATTTGTTGAGGTAAAGGGAAAAAGGTGAAACAGTGCAACTAGTATGCACTTAAAATAAGTTGTAAATTTAAGAGATTTGCGAGGCTGTTTAACGTCATTAAAACGTAATTCTTGTTTACTGAAAAGGAATAAAATATCGTGAGACAGTTATTCCCCTAATGATCCATGTAGATGCATAATAAGGTTATAGATGATTAGATGCTATACAAAAAGTATATTTTCTTTGAATAATTGAAGCATTACGTTGCATAAGATTGATTAAATATTATGAATTTTCAAACGGACACCACCCAGCTAACGGGAACACCTCCTAGTATTCTTCACTGCGCACCAAAATATTGACACTTCTGCAGTTGTGAAGATCAAAAAACTTTTTCTTTTCACCTTGTGTGGTCATAATTTTTCAAAGTTCAGTTCATGATTTTGTGATAATATGAGAATAATATCCGAGTTTATTCACTGTAAAAGGTAAAGAGTGAAGTGTATGAGTCTCGGCGAGCTTCCGTCGACGATTATCAGCTCCCAGGCAACGCGATTGCTCCGAGATCAAAATTACCTCGGAACTTTGGTACACTGCTTTTGGGTTGTCATGACATTGGCTACGAACTGTGAGATTCGAATAATCACCGTTCTGAGAAGGGTATGAATTCAACAATATTTATATCAAAGACGACTGAAATATGTAAAAATAATTGAGAACGGTCATAAACATAGGTTGTTTGGGTTGTCGTCTGCTTCTCCAACAATTTTTAATTACAGTACAAATAGATCACGTGGTTTTCTGTGTTAATTCAGTGATTTACAGTTAACATACAGTCTACTTAATTTTCAGTTATTCCCACAGAAGGAAAGAACAGTGTCTTAAAGAAAAAGAAAAACACAAAATAAAACAAAACTGTAACAAAATCTTCTTTAGATTTACCTGAATTGTGAATGCTCAGTCGGAACGTTTAAATTGCTTTTGTATTGAATATGTGAAATTTAAATAATAGCGCAAAAAGATGAGAAAAAAACAGTGCTATAAACAAATGAAATAAAAATAAAAGATTTAAAGACTGTAATTTGAAATCAACAATCGATGAAAAGCTCTCGAAACATTTTAACTATCTAATTATCACAAGTACAAATGTATAACTCAGGGCATTTGTCATAAACAATATTGAACTCTCTGAGTGACGTTCCCTTTTAATAGCTAATCAATTCTCAAGTGCCTATCATGCACTCAAAACCATGTCAAAATTCTGACAAAGATTTTTCATAGCCCCATGAATTTCAGTAAATCTACTTTTGAAAATTACCACACGTGACAAAATCTTAGTCAGTTTTATTAGCATAATTTAAACCTGCATGAATTTGCAAATACAATAACGCCCGACAGTGCACGTGCTACTATTCGCACGATTATCGCTCTTTAAAGATTAATCTCTAATGCCACTACTTGAGGGGAGTGTCAAAATGACCATAGCATTAAACGCATTACCGATGAAAATTGTCATGACGCAGACGACAATGTTATTTGTCACAACGCACGTGTACTGATGGCGATTTGATGTGGTGTTATCGCAGGTTAGATATGATTAGGATGAATTTGTAAAATGTTATGAATTATTAAGAATACATTTTGATCAATGGTACAAATTATTACTGTCTTACAGACTTCTGTAATTACATGTTATTTGAAATTAATGACAACTTTTATTTTATATTTAGGTTCATACGCAGGTTATTCTACGCTTAGGTTATTCTATGCAAGTATGCAATATTTTAAATATCTCTCTCTCTCTCTCTCTCTCTCTCTCTCTGTATGTATGTACTAACATAAAATGCATGTTGAGTATTACTATTCTTTCTGGCAGACAAAAAAAGCTGATCTGCAAAATACTCCCTCTACATTTGTACTTAACGTAATACAGCATGTACTGTGTTACAAGCCTAGATAAAGCCGACGAGTAAAGGCCTCACTCGACTAGCTAATATATTTTTATATAGCTTTGTGGGCCGAGTGGTCGCAAGACACAAACGAAGTGTTACAGAAGTATTCGTTAATATCCCATACAGGGATATAACATTGTCGGGCTAAATGTTAGACGAAGTTTTCATATATATATACAAACACACACACACACACACTCAGAGGAAGCGAGAGCGAAAGATTATCCCGGCAAGGTTTTATACTTATTATATATGACATAGATAAAAACGTAATGCCGTAAATTCTTTTCCTTAATCCAATTATAAAAATAGTAAGAAAGGGGAATTTAAATACTTTGCACTTCATGATCCACACTTCTTGCATCTGTAGCGGATATTGTTTGATTATTTGGAATAAGAAGATTTGTATCATGCGAAA